AGCTGCACGCCGCACGCGCAACGAAAGACGAGACAGGAAGACAGACAGACACACGACGTCCAGACGAGACGAGACAAGAACGGACAGAAACTGGACTGGGCAGGTCAGGACAAGACCGGCAGCCGATCCCGACGGTCTTCGAGCAGACATCGGACACGGAGTGAAAAACCTAAGCAGCAACCAACACCTTCATGCGCTAGCGACGATCAACAAGACAACCCCCCCCCGACGCCATCCCACCAGCCAGCTACCGACACCTCGACTGATGAGGCGAGGACAGACGAGACGCTACCTCCGCTACGCTATCCGTACATACATTTCCTCCTGCGTACCCTACGTACCTCACCTCACAGCTAGGCCACACCTTACCGACCCTACCTTACCTTAGCTTCCTTCCCCTTCCCCTTCCCTTGCCGGTGAGGGGCTGAGGCGGCCGAGAGTGGACTGGAACTGGCTTTTTGACCGGGGGGAGGCTGGGCTGCAGCACTGTCCGAGTCGAGGCTTGTTGCTCCACGACAATTCTGCTTCTGGCACTGCACTGCTTTTCTGCTAGACTGCGACAAATCATCACTCCACCGCGAAATCTCTCGCTCAAACTCTTTAACGGCCGTCACCCCTGTGACAAGAGTCCTGAGCCTGTCTCTGCCATCTCCCTTCTCTCGACTGTTCCCTTATTCTTATTGCGTCATGTTTTGAGTGATGGACGACACAGATTCCGCGAGAAATGCTGCGAGCAGAGCAGGCTCTGCAGAAGTGAAGGCCGAGTCACCAGGCGCGACCACTACCGCCGCCCCTACCAAGAGCCAGCAGCACCACCAACACCAACAACAGTCAGCGCCGCCAAAGAGGACCGTATGCGATCACTGTCGAAGGAGAAGTATGCTGTTCCACTTCTCTCACGTTACTATTATCGTCGTATCTCAATTTGCATCCCCTGCCGTCCGTCCGTCGCATTCATGAACTTTCGTGCGATTCTTCCTCTTCCCAGCAGTCTGCCGCCCGGGCAGTCCATCTGTCGGCTTCATGGTACCACCATCCCGCCTTAGCTACTGCTGCTGATGCTGCTGCTGACGTCGCGTGCTGCACGTCATCACCATCTTCATATCCATCACCAAGAACTGTTCATTTCATGTCCGCAACTCACGTCTCTTGCCACGTCTTTCATTCTTCTCGTTTCTCATACGATGGGGCTCATGAGAACTAACTGGCCATAGGAATCCGTTGCGATGGCAAGTTCCCTTGTGAGCAATGCGTGCACGCTTCACTCACCTGCAAGCGCGAACATGTCCCCAAGAAAAGAGGACCGAAGCGCGGCCATGGACGGGTCATAAATGAGTTACGCGCCCGGGAGTCGTCCCAAGGAAAGCAGCAACCAAAAGTTCAGAAACCTTTCAATGCAGAAACTGCGCTCGAGAGTCCTACAGAGTATGTGCGGCGTCGATTATCAGCAGCATGCCCACCGCTGAACCTAGACAGCGTCGACATTGGGATGAGCGGTAGCGACCTCGGCGAAGCGACATCTCAACATTCGTCCAACGCGTCCGCAGCATCGACCCCGCCGAGCTTTTGGGCCGCCGTCACCTCGAACCCAGCACACAGCAATGTACCGGAGCCAAGAGGCATCTTCTCGAGCGATGAACTACGACCGAGAACGAGAAGCTATTTCCACATGATCCCCCAGCTGGTCGAGCTGTACTACGAGCACATTTACCCCATCATGCCCCTCATCTACATGCCGACCGTCCGCGAAACGATCAACCGACCCATGACGCCGAGCGAGAAGAACCTGATTTACGCCCTGTGCGCCTTAACGTCGATGCACATGTCTGGTAAAAGCATCGGCGCGCCTGGTCCCACGTCTTGGGAAGTCGTCGGTCGCTTCTTCCTCGACGAAACCATTTCGACGAGGCAGACGTACGACTTCCTCGAGGATTTGTCCCTGTCCGCCGTGATTTCGTCGTTTTACCTGAGCACATCCTTCTTTGAAATCAACCAATCGCGCAAATCGTGGTACTACCTCCGGGAAGCGTTGACCAACGCACAGGACCTAGGACTCCAGGACGATTCAACATACTACGGGCTGAGTCGCGAGGAAACGCTATGCCGACAGAGGGTCTTCTGGATTCTCTTCGTAACTGAAAGGTTAGTAACAACTGACCGCTGGGTCACGCCAACGTATAATGCGAGGTCGCATTCGAGATACTAACGCATCCTGTGCTACCCAGGTCTTTTGCGATTCTCCGCAACAAGCCGATTACGTTCAAGAGAACACCGTCGCTACCAACAACACGGCATCCCTACGAAGGCCCCGATATTCATGCCGGTTTTCTGCAGCTTGTTTCATCCTACACTCCTCTGGACGAATCGTTCGTGACGGCTTGGAATGAGGGGTCTGATCCCCGCGTCAGCGCAACAACGTTTTTGGCTCTGCAAAACCTTCTTTCCCTCCCTCCCGCGTTCCTCCGCCCACATGGACGATCATCACCACCAACCCAGCCTCATGGACAGCTAATGGGTTCCTATGGTTCAACGTCAGCCTCGAGAGATGCCGGGGCACCAGAGCCGACAGACATTCAGAAAGCCGATTTGCTCATCACACAACAATGGTTGCGACTGATTGTGTGGCAGTCGTCAATGAGACAAGGCCTTCTGAGTTGGACTAACCCGGCCGACTCGGGAGGCGGTGTGTCATCGGGCAGCGGTGTCGGCGGTGGGAACAGCATGTGCTTCTCTTTCCCTCTGACAGTCGCACGTGATACAGCCTCGATCTTATCAAGCTTGCCTAGCAAAGCTGTCGAGGTTCACGGAATGGGTATCATGGAGAAGATTTTCGAAATCGGAACCTGGTGCGTCAATGTTTTGGGGGCATGCGAAAGCGTTGGCTTCTCAACCGCCATGGACTTTACGTCAGGCGATATGGGTGTTCTGGGCAGCGGTCGAAAGGGGGCGAGTCTAGACCCTATCGAGTTCTTTGTGCGTACACTGAGTGCGAGCGACAACTCTCGGAAACAGTTCGCAGAGAAGCTGCTCACCGCTGCCGGCGAGAACCCAGGAAGTATGAGAACACAACTCAGCCCCGCCATGTCGGGCATGAGTTCAGCCGCCGCGGCGATGATTGCTGCAGGTCAGGCGCACCACATGATGGAGCAAGGCTGGGGACAAGTTGGACAACAAAGAGGGAGCGTTGTGGGCGAGGTATTCGACGACAACGAAGAGAACAATGGCAACAACCAACAGCAGCGACAGCAGCAGCAACAGCAACAAAGGCTCGACCTCGGAAGCAATTCAATGCACCATCCTTCTACTATACCAAGTATGGGGCTGGGAATTGACCTTGGGTCCGACCGCTTGACTGGTGGCATGGGTGGAGTCGACATGGACGCAAGCAGTGTCGATCTCATGAGCCCACTAGGCCTGACTCGAAGCAACACCTCCGATATGGCAGCGATGGGCATGCCGGTATATGACACCGCCTGGAGCCCCAGCAGCGGTGGGACAGGGCCGCGCGAATACCCAGAGCATAATCCTGGACCTTATACCAATCAGCGTGAAGGGGCCCAAGGCTACCCCGATATGGGGAACGGCATGCTGATGCACGATCGGATGGCAACCGGTACCGGTGGTCCCGTGGGAGGCCCCGTTGGTGGGGAGAATCCTGGTATGGACCCGCGGCAGCAGCAGCAACATCAACAGCAACAACATCAAGGGGATAATGGCGGTTACGACGGACGGAGACCGGAGGACAAGAACGGTGGATACCCAAATGGCGGCAGGGTCGGTCTATGGCTAGGGACATGATAAGCCTGTCACCGCGTTGTGTAAGCTTGACGTTGGACGGACAGGCGGGTGCTCTAGGCCAGAGTAGGTCGGATGTACTCATACTTCAACACTATTGGACAGGAAAAGGGAATAGGACTGGGCGGGCGTGAACTGGGAGCATCTGCACAAACGGAACTAGGAGTTTTACGTCGGCCACGGTTTATTGTCTACCGGCGGCTCGGGCGATACAGGTGTTCAACGCTACCGTGTGCACGCTGACTGGCGTGTCGTAGCTGATCTGGGTGTTTAGTGACCCTCTTGGGTGGGTTCGGACTCGGCGGCATTCTACGCGTACATGTATATACCTCTGGTGGTGACAGTGGATGAAATGTCTCCCCAATATACTTACTGTAATCACTCCCACTCTCTTGTTAACTCATTGACCTGTGTGCGCCTCTCCGGGCAGTCCCACATCCCGCTGTCAAAAGTAGGATGCCTCCGCAAGTGTGGAGAAGTGCCGGCCGACGTGGGCCCCGGGTATTCGGCAGCAGATTGAAGGGGTATGCGGCAGGCTGCGGGCAGAGGTAACAGAGCTCGGGCTCGGTTGCAGGAGACTTGCAAGCAGTGTTGCGGCGCAGTCTTCTGACTCTGGACTCTTTTGTTCTCGAAGGATGCGAAACCTTGTCAAGATCTCCCCCCAAGCATGAGATACGGATAGATAAGCTCTTCTCTATTTCGCTCGTCACGAGGGCGATAATTGCCGATCTGACCCCGGTTGCTCAGTTTCGGGGGCCTTTGCTTTATTTGGAAGAGAGGACAGGCAGGAAATGCTTGTTACAACCTTCACACAGTAGTGTCCGTCCTCCTCGACCAGTGCCTTACCTGTCACGCCTGTGCGCATGCAACATCGTTGAGAAGCTTGGGCACGCACGCCACTTGCCTAACGGGGTAATCAGATTGCCCACATTACAAGTTTCTGAAGACGCCGGGGGGTAGGGGATACTGGATTCGAATTGTATTGAATCATATTGATTTGATTTGACTTGATGATGGCAACAGGGGCGGCAGATTTGGCTTCGATGCCGCTGCAGCATAGCGTCTGCATCGCGACGGCGCAGTTACGGCTGCGGCCCGTGGAGGCGGGTGATTTACGTGCGATTCATCGGATGAGGTTGGATACTGAGGTTATGCGGTACATGTATGGCATCACATGTTCTTTTTTTTTTTTTTTTTTTTTTTTGGTTCTGTTCTCGATATATTCTACCCCGTCCCATACTCATCTCATCTCATCCCATCGGATCCCCAAGATTTTAGCCTTTTTCTTTCGTTCGGGTCATTTCTGTTGCTTCTATATGGCTCTTAGATCGTTTGGTCTGACCTAGATTGGAGTCTGATATGATCTAATGTTAATGCAATGGCACCTCGTACAGGCCCGGCGTCGAGACTGTGGTTGCGGCGGAGGAGAGTCGGCGGAGTATCGAGAGGGTGCGACTCATGATAAAGGAGGGAGGGTTCTCATTTGCTGTTATGCAAAGAAATCACCCGACAGATGAACAAACTAGTGAACCCGATAACGACACCGACGAGAACGAGGCATCGGCGGAGGCGAGAGTCATTGGATTCATCGGCATCACGAGCCCACCGCAGATTTTTTACATTTTCCAACGAGCGTCTTGGGGATTGGGGTACGCCACTGAGGCGCTGCGGGCGTTTTTAGGGGCGTTTTGGGCTCGACAAAGAGGACCCGACGGAACGGACTGCGGGCCCGACGGCGAACGGAGATTGTCTTCGAGGCCGGAGGGCATAGAAGGAGGAAGATGGCATGGAGAAGAGGAAGGACGATTTGGGGATGTATTGGAGGCGCATGTCCATGATGGAAACGTAGGCAGTGAAACGGTGCTGCGGAGGTGCGGGTTTGAGTTTGCGTGGGAGACGGTCACGTCTGCGCATGGACGGGATGATGTTAGGTGTATGGTGTATCGAATAGAGCGGCCGCAATGAGAGTCTGGTCAGTCACTCGTGTAAGACGTCGTCACGCAAGGAGGTCACTCGAGGAATTGATGGTTAGGATCAAATGTGTTGGAAGCAGGACGAGAGCGTCTCTGGGTCTCTCTCACTCTCTTTCTTTCTTTTGTCTCTCTATGTTTTTGTCGTGTCTAGGCGTCATGTATGCCTAGTAAACTTTTCCTCCTGACTTTCTAATACCGAAAACCCATCGTCTATACCGAAAACGCCGGCCACCAATGCCTCCAGATGTATATGTGTATCCCAGGTATACAGATCCCCGTATTTCCCCGTCGTAGACAGTTGTATGAGGGTATCAAAAGATATGTAGTGCTGCTGTAAACAAGCTCAGAATGTGCCTCCCCAGAAAAGACTACTGAGAAGTCAAGACAGAGGGCAGTGAACGTGTGATGATCTAGAAACGTCCACCACGTCTTCCACCACCGCGGCCACCACCACCACCACCTCCACGGCCGCCAGATCCAGCGGGACGGCCTTCGCCACCACCGCCACCGCCGCCGCGGTGTCCATGACGGCTCTTGGGCGCATCAGGAATGACAACCAAGCCTCTGGTTCCGCGGAGGCCCATCTTGCCAATGGTGCTCTTCTGGATTGCAGGCGTCTCAGGGCAAGCGAGCGCGTCACGGGCGTACGTGTTGCCCTCGGCGACGAGCTGCTCCTTGTCCCATTTGAGGGGCTTCATCCAGTTCTTGTAGTAACCAAGCCAAGCCTGGTAGATCTTGGCCTTTTGCGCCTCGTCGATGCGCTGCTCTGCAATGTCGTACACTGCCTCAGCAGACGAGAGGTCGGCAGGGCGGGTTTGGAAAGTGATTTCTTTGAGGGTCCACTGCGGGAAGAAGCCCTCAACCTCGGCAACAATGAAGATGCCACGGCCCTCTGCACCCGCGCGAGCGGTACGACCGAGACGGTGGATGTAGGACTCCTTATCGGCGGGGATACCGACCTGGAAGACGGATGTGACTCCGGGGAAGTCCATGCCGCGGGCAATAACGTCTGTGGCGACGAGGATGCCGGACTTGGAGTCGCGGTAGTCGTTTGTCGTCTTTGTACGCTTGCTCTGTGAGATACGCGAGTGCAGGACGGCGGTGGGCGGCATGCCGGGCACGTTGCTGAGGACGTCACCGTAGAAGTCGGCAAGGGCGGCCGTCGGGGCGAAGATGATGGCCTTGAAAGTCTCGGGACCGACGTGAGTCGCCTCCTCGCGGATGGCACCGACCATGGCCGGCGCGACGGCAGCGAATGTGGGCACTTTGATGAGGTGCTGGGGCACGCGCTCATGAGTGTTTGCCTCGCCGGCCGGGATAGTAGAGATGAACTTGTAGCCCTGGGAGAGGACGAGGCCGGCAACCTGCTCGACGTGGGAAGCGATAGTTGCGGAGAAGAGCATGCCTTGGCGGTTGGTCTTTGTCTTGTCGGGAAGAGCGCGAACGATGTCCTTGAGGGCGGGCATGAAACCCATATCGAGGAGGCGGTCGGCTTCGTCCAGGACGAGAGTGTCGAGGTGGCGGAAGGCGTCCTTGATGTACTCGTTCGACATGTGGTCAATGAGACGGCCGGGAGTGGCGATGAGGATATCACAGCCGTTGAGAATCTGCTTCTCCTCGCGGTCCTTGTTGGTGCCACCAATGGCGATGCATACGCGGTATTGCTTGAGGCGCTGGAGGAGGGCCTCAGCCTCCTTGGCGATCTGCATGGCAAGCTCGCGGGTCGGGGAGATAACGAGCAGGGAGATTCCGGCGCCGCGACCGCGGTTGCTCGTGATGAGAGTCTGGATGGCGGGGAGGAGGAAGGCAATCGTCTTGCCGGTGCCGGTCTTCGCCTGGACAAGGCAGTCGCCGCGCTTGGGAGGGAGGAGCTCGCCCAGGGTTGCGGCCTGAACGGGCATCATGTGGTCGAATTTGAGATCTTGGGTGATTGCCTGGACCAGAGACTGGTCGACTCCAACCATGTCGGCGAATCTCGGTGTGTCCTGGGGGACAGGCTCGGTGAGGGGCGGCGCCGTTGCTTGGGCGGCTGCTGTTGCTGATGCTACTGGGGCCGACGCGGGTTGTCCCGATCTGGGAGACTCGTTGTACGGCGCATCGCGGCGGTCGCGTCGGGGACCGCGCTTCTGATTCGAACCTCTTCCTCTGCGATCCATGATGTCTAAATTTCGAGGTTCTGTGGTTTCTGTCCTCGTACGGCGAAGGGTTGTGATTGCCGTGTTGATGAGGGAGTGATGTCAAATGGAAAATTTCCTGGAACAAGCAGGGACCTGACGAAACTGCTCTCAGCTAAGCCTAGTGTACGCCCGATAAGAACGTGCGGAAGGCGATAAGAGTTTACCTTAGGGGTCCTCCGCACCTGCTCTCACCGCCCGTCCCACTGTGCCCCTCCCCCGCTTAAATGGGCCCGCTGATGGAGTACGTACTGGCATCTTCACCGTCTTCAACCACACGGATCTGAGGATATATTTAACCTTGATTCAATATCCTCAAGGCCTCGTACTATATACTCATAGTTACGTTTACTGGCATATAAATGTCACAAGATGCCCTAGCGCCAAAGCTCCAAGCACCGCGGCTTATGAAAGTATCCCTTTTCAATGGGAGGTTCTAAGTTTTGAACTCCATTCCGACACAATCAACACAAGTGAAACTGGACTCATATGTAATAATGTTTTCAAGTACAAATAGAAGAAACCTTTCCGAAGAACGCCTAGAGGGCAGTTTGAAAATCAAAACGCCGTGGTATGAATACTGAACTACTGGTGCAGCCGCTCCGATAAGTCAATGGAAGGGGGGGATATGCGGAACTAAGGCTGACCAATTGTCTTGTGTTCAAAAGGCAAAGTCATTCATGCGTCCTGAGCCACCAACTCAGAATGGAGGAGCGTTGTGAGATTTCCGTTCTCTACAGAATCTTCAGTTTGGGTGAAATGAGTTCCTATATCCATATGGGGCTTCTGCACGAGGATGCGATGAGCTCTGGTCATGACCAGCCTCTGTACGCATTCCCCAGGAAGCTGCAGTCATAGGCGACCGCTGCTGGAGTTGATTATCATGCCTTGCAAAATTAGGGTTCGTACTATGCTGGGGAAGGGATATACGAAGTGGAGATACATGATCCTGGTTTGAACGGGTTTCGTACTGTGGCGCCGATAATTCTTGAGGATACAAGGATAGCGGGGAAGTGACTGAGGTCTCTTGGAACCTCCCGCTCGTTGGCGAGAACTGTTCTCCATAGTGACTCGCCTCTAAAACCCGGTGATTTGGTGATATCGGTGTGGAGTCTCTATGGTGCGCGGGCTCTCTCTCCTGCGTCGGCTCGCGGCTCAACCCGATGGGCATGCTATCGCTGACGGTGCTAGGGCTGGTCACCATCGTAAGAGCGGGCTCATAGACGATCGACTGTTGGCGATCAATGTCATCGCATAAGCTTCCCAAGAACATTTTGTAGACATCACCGTCAGCAGGTTCGGTGTCGATGAGATCACTGGTTTCTTGTTAGTATGTGTATAATGGTACTCATGGCTTGGATTTGTTCCTTACGGGCAACCATAATTAGTAAGGTCATCGTCAAGATGCCTGAGTCTCTCCTTTCCAAGTTCGTTGGTACCGAATCTCACGAACTGTATGGTGATTGGCCGAATCTTTTCGATGTCTTCCTGGCCCTGATTATGTGGGCTGTTACGGAGCGGGAGATCCTTGTGAAGGTCTCGCAAGAGTTGGAACACTGCTTTGAGATGCTCATCCAGCGTGTTCGGAATATGCATGCCATTCCAGACCCCATCGGTCAAAACAATAATGGTCTTCTTCTTTGGACGCCGCTTGGAAATCATCGCTCTCGAATAATCGTTGATGATCCGGGCAAGCTCTGGGACGATCATCGTCTCCACCGGCATTTTGTCATTGGATGATGGCTTGGCGAGTTTCATTGCCTCTGTGAAGGTTTCAACCTCTTGTTTTGGTGACTCTCTGATGTGCGCTGCGGGATTCGTGTCGGGATTGGTGAAGCATAACTCCATTCCGTTTTCATCATAGCCCAAGGACCGCCAGACCAGTCCTCCCAAGATGAAAGTTGCTTGATCCCAGTGCTCTCTCATGGAAGTACCGTTGTCAACCAGATATACCTAACGATTGTCAACATTTCCTCCACACAGTATGCATGTTCTCCGGCTTGACTCACAATGTCCCTGTTCTCGAACTCCTTTTCCAGTCGTTCATTCAGATGCTCTGTAAGACTAGCAGTCTTCCATGCTGCTTTTCCTTTCACAGACATCTTTTTCTTCCGTCCAAATGATCCGAATTTGACGAGGCTACGACTCCTACCATGGCCATGCTCTTCAAGGACGCCCATGACTTTCCACATGGTAACAGGAGCCCTAGGAATTGGTGTTTGACTTGTGTCATGGCCGACCACTGATTGCGTGTGCAAGTGTTGTCCCCCGAAACTTCCCGCATGATATGCATGGCTATCATGGGCGACTGGATACTTTGGCGTCCAAGAAGTCCGATCAGAAGTCACATCTATGGTCAGAGTCGGTGGCTTAGGTGGACTGTCTCTTGCGGATCTATGAGCTGTTGGTCGAATGCCTTGGTCGAGAAGTTCTTTTTGGCTTTTGAAGTCGGGCTCCGTTGATGCTTGGGCATTCCTCGATGCTGGTCGTTTTGGCACCATATTAGAATCAAGTCGTTTGATGCCGGAGTGCTGCTCATAATCAAGCTCTACCTCGAGCTCGATGTCTTGAAGCAGATCTTCAATCCTGCTCGGAACCTCTCGAGTGGGAATAAGAGACTGCTCCAATCGTCTCTTGAACCAGTCGCGGACTTGTACGGCCGTGAACCTTTTGTCAGGGGCTGCGACTAGCATGTATTGGTCCACCATATCCAATACGTCGGCGGTATATGCATCAGTCTTTCTTGCAACCGCTCGAAGGTACCTGTGCCACTCCGTCACTTCGGAAAGGACTTTGTCATCGTGATGAAAGGTATCGCTCACATCTCCAGTCTTTTCAAGAATACCCGCTCTGCGAATTCTGTCGTAGATCAAGACGCCTTGAGGTCCTAATACGACGTAGGTGGCTGCGATGGAGAACACGCAGCCTAGTGACCATACATCGCTTGTCTGTGTTATCAAAGGCTCTTGCAGACTCCTGCCATCGAGATACGCCGCTTTCTCCGGGGCACCTGTGGTATTAATGTTAACCAAAGCGGGACGCCTTTTTAGCCAACTTGACTGAAGACATCAGTATCACTAACCATAAGTTCTTGTACCCCCAGTCACTCTGGCCGATTGTCGCCGATTTTCGCCATTAGACAATTGAATATAGGCTTCTCCTGGGTCTGCTAACTTGTACCGGCTGTCGACACGAAGTATGTTCTCAGGTTTAATGTCTGCGTGCCACCTGTTTGCGCCGTCAGCTTCCCACTGTATCACAGGTGCCTTCCCAGCTATCTTAGGCAGGCGAGCTTACGTATAATAGTTTACACCGCCCAGCTTTAGTTTGTAAATAGAGGCGAGTGCTTCCGATATTCCAGACATTGCGGTCCAAAACCCTAAGATCTCCTTTGGGGATACGGGAGGCTCCAGCGTGCGGATGGCAGTGTAAAGATTCGAATCTCCGAGTTCCAGAATGATGTAATGATACTCTCGTTGTGCCCCTTCGTTATCAGTCTCGAGGCTCTGGTACCACCCGATGTATTGAATCATGCCATCTTTGTCCCTTAGGTGGTCGAACATGCGGGCCTCGTTGTGGAAGTGGTCAATCTTGTCAAACTCAAACTGTTTGAGAGCGAACCTATATCTCTGTATATCTTGTTGTCAGAATATCGCATCCTCCTGATAGCCCACCGCGACTTGACTTACGAAACCTGGAGAACGATCTCCTTGTCGTTTGAATCTCGCCGATGCCATCTTCTTCTGCAACTTCATACCAACCATCTCTTCAGGCACTTCGATCGAATATAATGACGCGGTATTCTTTCGAGGCCCACGACCATCCCGATGGGGTTTTATCTCGGTTTTCTCTAGAATAGGCATGATTCTGTCCCAGTATTTTTCTCTCATGCCCAGCTCAAATTGTACCGGGCACCACGCTAATTGGGCCTTGTAGAACTTGCCCAAGAAGTCGTCGTTATGTCGCTCACGTATCTTGTCCTTCAAGGTCGTCATGTCGATTGGTAGCTTGTTGTCGCTCAGACCATTTTCGCGAAACAGGTCGATTTGTGAGGGGGCGCCAATGTCAATCAGGATGTAGAAAACGCAATGGTAACCTTTCAGATCCTCTAAGCGCATAGTTGGTGGCTGCATCGAATTGCGACGAAGCGAATGAAGTTGGCATAACCTGTCAAGGTCGTTTTTGAACCGAGAGTGGCAAGAGGGCGAGCTCTCCTCCAGGCGACGGGTAACATTCCCAACGATGATGAACTCTCCGCCGCATTTTGAGAGTCTCCTTTCATCTTCTCTGATGACCCTGAACTCTTCAAGAGCCGTCCTGTACTCGGAATGGTAGTTGAAGTGAGTAGCGGCGCTCATAGTGTTAAAACAGGGTTTCTATCACTGCCCATTGGCGGAACCCCGAAAGACCGCAGGCGGTGTCTCTCTAACACAGTTCGCAGATGTAACACTCTGTGGCAAGAATCGCACAAAGGAGGACTTCAGAAGTTTTGTGGAGGTTCCTCGTGATCGCTTCGTCACGTCGTCAAGCCCGAGTACGGAGTTGTGTTGGAAGCGAGAACGAGCAGGCTCGAGCAGCATAAGCAGACATGCCGCCCGAGTGCGAGGACACCGACCCAAAAGTAGCAGACGAGGAGGGAACCAACAAGAGAGCGAGCCAGCAGACATCCTTGAGAGTCGGTGCAGTTTCCTCCTGCAAGTTATGGGCGCTTGCTAAACCCCCAAAAATGCGGCTGACTGGGCGGCTGACCTGCATCAAAAACGGGGGGTCAGTTGTTGCCTTCCAATGATCTGCATCACCATCCTGTCATGGTCCGAGTCGCGGCTCTCCAGCAAGTGATCCATAGATTGCAAATGGGACCAATGTAATTGAACCCTGGATACAAGATGGTAAATGGAACAAATGATCAATAATAGAAATAAAAGCAACGCAAACTTTCTCTCCCCCAGTCTGGGTTCCCAAATATTGCGACACGATTTCATGTATCCGTACATGCAAGAAGTGAGGGGTAAACCATCGCCTACGTACGAATGGGTGTGATCAACCCTGACCTGGCCCATAATGTGGTCTTCCATCCTCCAAGGGAGGTGCAGGTGTCTTATGTTATGTATGACAAGGCTCTCATCCTAAACCACAACAGCTGTATTCGTGTGCACAGCGTCGAGGGGCCATTCCGGGTTTCTCACACCGCAAGTAGCATTTGATGAGAGAGTGCTCACACCCAGGGCAGAGAGCTGAAGCACTCGTTGAGGACATCTCAGCCACGGGCTTCGACCAGAGGCATGAGCCTTCCGCCTTCTCCCAACTTTACGGGAACTACGTCCTCATCTAGACGTAGGCGAAAAGACTTGGAAATTATTTAGTCCATAAAGTCAGCGCGCGACACTAACTTCATGATCGCATAATGACAATTGAATATCAAATAAATGACAAGAAAAGATTGGATTTTTCCACGTCAAGATGTTGGATCCAGTTGACTTGTGTTGAGAAGACTGGCTCCGGTCCATGGAAAGTAGCGGGCAGTTCGCGCACCAGGCTTCCCGACGCCTCATCGAACCAGGCCTGGCTGCCTGCAAGGCAACTTGCCACATAAAGCACCACCGAATCCTCGGTACTTCACCCCGCAGCTCCTATAAGGCTTTTTCATGGTTTTCGTTTTCGAAGTGAGCCTTGAGTATCGGTCGTTCTTCGCCCCCACGAGCTCAGAGTCTGTCGCCGAGATACCGAAACTTGCCTGCGCCCTCAATCGCACCGACATCAGCTCTGTCCCGGCACTTCGAAATCACAGATCAGGACGCAATATGATACCAGGATTGCACAAGAAATTCACTTGGGGCCCGTCAAGGACGAACACAAACGATGCAGCCCAACAAGGCAGCGCAAATTCGGCGACCCCCCAGCAGCTCCAAAGATCTCAGACCATGCCGAAACCTCCCAGCGGCTGGGTCCCGGAGCAAGTAATGGCATACAACCTGCGATGGGACAAGCTACGAGAATGGCTGATGAAGCGCTTCGAAAACGATATCGACATCAGCGCGATAGGTGGTGGCTTTAGCGAGAAAAAGGTTCGTCTGCGGGAGTCTAGCTTGATGCGTATTTCTGTACTGACCAGACATTGAAGCATTTGAGAGGCGATCGCTATTACTTCCACACGCCTCAGCGCCTTACAAAGGTCAGTGAATTCTATGCTCCATTACGATACATTGTGGTGGCAAGCCTTACTACGTGGCATTCTGACGTCGAGTAGCAAGATATGGACGCCATCGATGGCCTTCGAGAGAGGAACCCAAACGACGTGATGAGACAGGAGCAACGCATCAGATATTCTCCTGATCCGGAGGAACAGACAACTGATAATCACGAATGGGAATCGGACTAATGACACAACTTAATACCCACGAAAAGACCGACCTCGCAGTGCAACAGCTCTATCGAATGGGTCAATATGACCGCGATAAACCATGCCCATCCCTGATGATCAGGAGCCGCAAGTGGACGGCAGTAGTACCATGCCCAACGGATACTTGAACCCCCATTGTTCATCATTATGTTATTATTGTTATCATTATCGTGCAAACTTCCTTCGGGTACATGCATATTACTCGAGAGTATTTGGATAGCAAGAGCCAAGAAAAAGAAATGGCATTGATAGCAATACGTATTCCGATGGTGGTATTAAAGCAGGAGTCCAGGTGGTAGGTATTTGAGCCGGCAAAGAACGCTCAGTTGCTAAAGACCTCGCTTAGCAGCTTGCCCGCCTTGTATGACGGTGTTCATGCTGACGGGCGCTGGCTTCCTGGTCTTATTGGCATGCTGGGCCCTCCCTTTCAGCCGCAATCGCGTTCGTTATCGGAGGGTCAGTTGATCAAGTCTTACCTACAACTATTGCCGGGCGAACTACCCTGACTAACTAAGGGCTGCTTCTGCGGTACAACTTGGCAAAGTACGCAGCCACGCAGCGTGTCTTGTATGGTGTGATGGGCCACAGCGAATGATGCCTTGCAAAGAGCCTTGAGGGGGCGGTACAGCTGGGCGTTTCCACATGACTTTGTTTTCCCTTCGCCTCTTTCCCGCCTAAAATTTGATCAAATATACTGAACAGTCGGCTCATACCGCACTGTCGATGGATGAGTGCCAAATTGATCCATACGACTCCTTCTTTACTATTGTATCATACCGTAAGCCACCTGTCGGATCAGTTGGCCGGTGTCTACGATGCCCACCCCGACTCAGGTACCGCATGAATTCGAGAGATCCTACCTGGGATCGGACAGCTACCCGCTCAATCATGTGTCAGCCAGTTCGTATGGACGGGCCAGTCTGTCGGAGCAAAGGAGGAGGCTCATTGACCGAGGGAGAACTCTCTTCGTCCGCAATGAAAAGGCCAAGATTCCCATTCGCGATATAACGGCAGCCGGACAAGTCAGCAAAGACAACGTATTGAACGACGATCACCTGAAAGAGCTCTTGGGGGATTTAACTATAGCCAGTCCGGACCCGCAGAACAATCAGCCTAGAGTGTTGGTGTTTCAGAAGGACGTGAAATGCCGCTTCGTGTAAGTTACCCGATACCATACGATGATTTAATTACGTAGGGAGACTACAAAGACTCATGTGCTCATGGACAGATTCCTCGTCGCCGAGAACGCTCTGGCGCCTTTGGAAGCACGGCCAAAGATGCTGATGCGTCTTTTGACATTCTACCAAGTGATGCCACAATTTCTAGACTTTCTCTACGTGTATGGATCACCTCATGGCGAAGATAAGAACCTTCGCTTCAGTGGCTTCAGAACCGAAAAGGTTCTCATAAATCCTGTGCCAGGGACATGCATTCCAGACATGGGCCGCAGCGGCAGAAGATTTCAACTTTGCTACAATCTTAAAACGGTAGGGCTCAAGTTTGAGCAACCAGATCAGGAGGTTGATAAGATCTGGAAAATCAGGCAAGCGGCCATTCACCATCAATTCGACATTGGATCCGGCGTTCAGACATGGATCATTGGAGATCCGCATGCAGCCGTCAAAGGCCGTGTTCAGGAGCTTTTCCATGAGAGTCGGGAACATTCCGCCAAATTTGGGACAGTAGAGCAGTCTCTACTCTCATCTCTAGAGGTACATCTTGCTCTGGCCAGATGGGCAACATCAGAATGGAGATGGAATGTGCAGTCACTTGAAGAAATCATTGACAATCTGGTAAGCATTGGCTAAAAAAATCCTTTTTTAATGGTTTTAACCGAGATTGTTCCAGACTCTCAAGATCGTTTACATACAAAAGTCTGACTTGGAGACACTTGATTCTGAATCTCTGGGAAACGTCCAAGAGTGGGAAGACAAAACCAACGAGACCATCATGGTAATGGGGTCGAATGCTGATATCTTGACATTGCTGAGGAAGTTCTACAAAGAACTCGTCGAAGATCAGAATTTTCCGAGCCGTGAACTCAAAGCCTGCAAACAAGCTGTGAACGATTTCGCGTTTCAACTCGACGAGATCATATACGACACCCAAATGCAAATCTCCAGGGCCAAGGTTTTGGTTAAAATAGTGGCAGACAGGAAGGCAATTGTACGTTTCTGGATACATGTACTCAAGACATGGCTCCCTCAAAGTATTTCTCGGACTAATAGCATATTTTGTCATATCAGCTCATTCAACACCTTCAGACGCAGGCTGCCTTGGTTGCATCGAAGCTCACAGCAAGCATGTATGACCAAGCCGATCGTAGTGCCATGGAAGCAATTGCCATGCGTATCGTGACAGTCGTCACGCTTATCTACCTTCCAGCAACATTTTCAAGTGTAAGAAACTACTCAATCAACTGGTTCAATCATCTACATGAACAGTATATCTAACGAGCATTCCAGACCTTCTTCAGCACCGATGTTGTAAAATACGAAGATGGAGTCAAATTCTCTAAGGTTGCGTTTGAGAGATTCCTTCAAGTTACCATCCCATTGATGGTGATCACGTTTCTTCTTGCAGGGGGTTGGTTCTGGTGGGAATGGCAAAAAAGATCACGAAGCTCTATGGCAACCAGGAATGCGAACCCAAGCGTCTTCCCACTACATGAACTTGTGTCTGCAAAGGGACCCCTATGATATAGCTAGCTCATCGATCGTTCCAGGCTGAACTTGTTGAATTCGTCTACGCGCAGAGATTGACAGTTTCATCATATTCTATTTACCTGAACAGCGCCCTTTTTTTTTTCCCTTTCTTTTTCGTTGGCCCCTTTATGTTACTTACATAGTAAGAAAGACTTTGGATATTGGATTTCACAAGGAGGGCTCAATTCTCCTATTTCATACACGGTCTATAATTTGACCGATTGGCATTTGCATAAAAAAGTATCTTTACCATCGTTAAATAATAATCTCGTACACCTGTCCGTAGTTGATTCCAGGAAGCAAATCTTCTAGATTGAAAGAAAAGTCAATTTTGAAGACAGATTGTAGACCACAGTCTCATCTAGATCTCCTGTTTAGAACTCTTTTCAGCATGTCACCATCAATTCTGTGTTTGAGACACTCAAGGTTCTTCCAGTCGTTGGATTCAAGCTATCTCATCAATGCCACGCCGATGGGCTTTTCTACAACACAAATGCCTCCCGAGTCCCGAGACTTTCTCTCTATAAATCAAAGGACAAGTAAAAATCATAAACAAACAACCGATCAAAGTCCTTCATTTATGCCTTGAAGAAGTCGGTAACAGCCTTGGTGAACTGGTCAGGGTCCTGCATGGGCGCAAAGTGGCTGACACCAGTGAGGATGGTAACCTTGCTGCCGGGGATAGCCTTGTTCAAGATACCGGGGACATCGCGGTTGACGGCCTCCTCGTGCTCGGCACCAGCAATCATGACCTTGGCACCAGGAATGCTCTTAAGCTGAGCATCGGTGAACTGCGGCAGAGTACCCTCCATGGTGGCAACCTTGGTCGCGAACTCGGTGAAGTTGGCTCCGGGCTGGAGGGTGCCGTACTCGGTCCTGCAGCGGGCAACAAGAGTAGAGAAGATGGCAGTGTCGCTGAAGGTGGCGTTGGTCTGGTCAGGCTTGGCCGAGGCACCGAAAATGAAGGCCTTGTTGATGGGCTTGGCCGTGACGGAGTTGATGAGCGCCGCGAGGGTGGTGATGCCACCATCAGACCAGCCGACGACGTTGTACGAGGACACGCCGGCGCCGGCGAGGAGGTCGTGGATGTCGAGCGCCATCTGGTCGTAGGTGAAGACGTCGTTCTTGTTGTACGTCGTGCGACCGTGGCCGCGGCGGTCGACGGCGATGACGTAGTGGCCCGCGGAGACGAGGCGGGAGATGACGGAGCCAAAGTAGGCAGAGTAGCCGAGGCCGCCGTGGTCCATGACGATGGGGACGCCGCCGGCCGCCTTGTTGTACTCCTGGAACCACATCTGGATGCCGTTGATGGCCGTCTTGGCTGTGGAGATGGGAGTGGGGAGGTTCGGGGTCGCGGGGAGGGTCTGCCAGATGGGGGTCTGGCGGACGGCGAGGCCGGAGACGGAGCCGGCAACGGCGACGGCGGCCATGAGAGCGTTGTTGAAGTGCATTTTGGCGGTTGTTTATCAGTGGAAATCACGAGGAAAGAATGTGGTGACTGGTTAAGAAGAAAGAATGTGTGGGAAAAACAAACACGAAAGAGTGTGAGACTCAGTGAGAGACGATGCGGTTTGGGAAATCCAAAAGCGAAGCGATTGATGAGGGTGGAGGAGAAAAAAAGAAGAATTCTAGAACCAGCAGAGGAACCATCATGTAATTAAATACATAGTTGCCATTTGACTTCCTTTCATCCCTCCTAGCTACGGATACCTAGTCGTCTTCTCTTCCCCCGCTTGGCGAACCGAAAGGCTGGAATTGAGTTAATTGCAATTCATCCAGTCGTGGCGGAGCAACACGTCTGAAAATAGGAGGCGTACTGGCGTGGTGCCGGGATCACGACTCACGCAAGTTCGCAAACCCCGGTTTAGAGTTTTTCGCACTTTTCGCCCTCCCCGTAGCCCGCGCCCACAATCGGTGGCCTTTTCGGCTGGGCGTGCCGGGGGGAGAGCCTCGTCAAGACATTTTCACTCGGGGGGCCGCGCGCGGCAAGCGAAAACGAAGAAAAACCTAAAAGTCCATAGTATACGGAGTTGTATACTATCGTGAGATGGCCAGGCGAGTCGGCGACTAAATCGGCTAAGCGGCAGCTCTCAAATGAACACGGACGACTCCGTGAGAAGTGTCAAAATGCCAGTATCCGTACGCATGCTCACAAATGCAAATGGGGGTCATGCAACTTGTTAACCCCCCGCGAAGGAGTTCGGACAAAACGGACTGTTCCAGTCGTAAGGCTCCTCGTACATGCACAGCACTCGGGAGGACCCGACTGATTCATCATTTTGACACATGGGATGGCAGGGGTGTCCTGCACAGATCACGTCTGGAGTTGATGGGGGGCGATGGCTATACCGCAATGCGTTATTCAAGTCAGTCCACTCAGACTCTCACGAGCCTCAATGTCGTATGCTTCCAAGCCTTACTGGGCCTCGAGACTCGAATTGCAAGCCGATACAACCGTCTCTTGCTCAGCCAAGCCCCGACTTTGTCGATACTCTGCAAGCATAAGACCTGGCTGAACAAGCTAATCACCATCACAATCGCAGTCTTTCTACAAACCGAGACCGAAGCTGACAGTTTTTCAACTCGTGGATTTTGACCATTTCATCTCAAACATACTCTAAAGCCCAAGCTACAGCAAGGACAATAGAAGCTTTTATAGTATGGTACTGGGCAAACAACAACCAAAAAACAAAATGCAGAAAAACTACCGACTCCTTACTGATGAATCCCCTGCGCCGGGCCATGCTCAACAATCCTCCCCTTGTCTAGGCGGATAAAGTAGTTCGCATCCTGGACGGCTTCAAGCCGGTGCGCAATTGTGATGACGGTGCTTGTAGTCAACTCATTCCTCAACACCTCCTGCACTCTGGCCGCTGTCTCCTTATCAATCGACGCGGTAGCCTCGTCCAGCACCACAATAGGACTTCTCCGGAGGACGGCCCGGCCGATCCCAATGAGCTGCCGCTGTCCCTGGCTCAGGTTCTTCCCGCCGCCCTCGACGTGGGAGTACAGGTCCCAGCCGGCGCCCAGGACCCGATGGAGGACGACAACGCACTCGGTGTCGGTGTACTGGTGCAGCGGGTCGAGGTTGTCCCGCAGCGTGCCGGGGAACAGCACGGGGTCTTGCGCGACAAAACTGACGCGCTGCCGCCATACGTGGACGTCCACGTCCGACAGCTTGTAGTTTCCGACGCGGATGGCGCCTTCGGAAGGGTGGATGGTCGCGAGGAGGGCGAGGGCTAGGGTGGACTTACCAGACCCCGTCCTGCCGAGCACCGCGCAAGTGGAGCCCCCGGGGATGGTGAAGGAGGCTTCCGAAATGGAGGGGTCCAGGTGAGGTGCGTACCGCAAAGTAACATTGTCAAAGATGACGTCGTCCGAGTGGTGAGGCCAGCTGATGGGTGGCGTCAGTTCGCCGCAAGGCTCCTCGGGGATGTCTAGAAGCTCAATCACGCGCTCAACAGACACAAAGTCCATCTGTAGGGTACCGTACTGCTTGCAGAGATTATGCGTTGCCTCGACAAATGCGGAGGCAGTCGTCAAGACGAAGGCGGTCAGACCGGGCGAAAGGCCCTTGTACAGCGCGAGCAGAGTGAGCGCAAAGGTACAGATGGCGGAGAGGGCGTCAAATCTGTACATGAGCCAGGCCTGGAGACTCCAGTAGAAGTGGTCCATTTTCTGGAAGGCGTCCGTAACGACAATGTTCATGTTTTGGAAGTGGTGCTGGGCCTTGAAGGCGCGGATGGTTGCAAGTCCGTCGAGCAGGATACCAAAGTTGGACATGAGAGGGCTGAGGGAGACCATTTCCAGTCTTCGCAGACTCTGGGAAGTGGGCAAGAACCGCATGAAGATGTAGACGAACCAAAGCGTCATGCCAACTGAGAAGAGGAGGAAGAGCGGTGTGACGGAGGCGATAACGATCATGCTAGAGAACCAGGTGATGGACTGGACGGCAACTTCGCGTAGCGGTCTCATGATGCCGCCGTCGATCATTCCAATGTCGGAGACGAGGCGGTTCATCAAGCGTCCAACTGGAGTAACGTCGTAGAAGCGGAAAGTTGCACGGCCGACTTTATTGATAACTCTTTTGAAGAGATCCCTTGCCGCGGTAATGATCATGAGTAAGGTGAGTCCTTCCGACAACGTATAAATCACAGCCTGAGTAACCGCGATACCGAGATACACCCACAGCCAGGGCCTCAAATCGGTGTCTGGATCCGGGAGTCCAGAAAAAAGCTTCGAAAAGTCTATACCGTCGGACGCTCCCTTTGTCGACGTCTCGTGCTTGTACGCTTCACCCCAAGCTTTGAGGAACCAGTAGTTGAGGAGACTGCCCAGTCTGAACAGTGCAAAAACCAAGACTAGCACAGCCCACCACTTGAGCTTTCCAGCCTTGATATAGGTCCAATAAACCGACAACATGACGCCGCCATGGGCACGGTGTTCTTCCTCAATAAACTTGGACGGTATGGCGGCGTCTTGCTGGCTCTCGTCGAGGGCGTGCTCGTGCTCGTCCTGGTGAGCCGCCGGATCCTCGTCTTCCAGGAGGAACTTGGCGACTTCCGCCGATGCCTCCTCCGAGTTCAAGACGCGAGCGGTGCCATCGACGACTTCAACCATCTGGCCAGCGAGATGAAGACACAAGTCTACTCTATGAGTGACGAGCACCACAGTCCGGCCTTCCACCAGCGGGCCCTGGAGGAGCTTCTTCACGATGGATTCAGCTGTGTTGTGGTCCAGGGCAGCGAGAGGGTCATCCAGCAACAGCACGCGAGACTGGCTGTACACGGCGCGGGCCAAAGCGACCCGCGCCCTTTGTCCGCCCGACAGACCAATTCCGTTCTCGCCCATGTCGGACAGGTCTCCATGTTTGAAGGTGGCCAAGTCGGGAAGTAGGGCACACGCATCAAGAGTCTGGGTGTATCTCGCGGAGTCAAAGGGTGCTGAGAAGAGGATGTTGTCGCGGATGCTCATGTGTTGGAGCCAGGGGCTTT